TATATATTATGTATTTATGGATAAAAATAATTTTAAAACAAGTATTCAAACAAACTGATTTTAGGGAGCGAAAATTTTAAGGCATTTGGTGAAGCTGTTCTCAGTTCCCGAGTTTATACGCATTGACAAAGATGTTAGAAATAGCGAGAAAAAAATTATGAATTGAATAAGTATTCACGTAAATGATACTGAAACAACTTCAAACTTAACAAGTTAGTTTCAAGACTTGATACTGGATGCGTTAAGGTGGTTTAATTAAGTTTGGACATTAAGTCACCATTAAGCTGCAGCTTAAAGGTGGCTTAATGGTAGCTTAATGAAGTTTGGACATTAAGTACCTAGAAGCTGCAGCTTAATGGTGGCTTAATGGTGGCCTAAAGGAATTAACTTCTATAAGCCACCATTAAGCTACCATTAAGCCACCATTAAGCGATTGCTTAAAGATGGTCTTTCGTCCTGTGAATGTAATCACAGGCACTAACAGATCTTATATAACGTCATTGACGTTTGAACCTACCGTGTAGGGGAACAGGGAACAGGAATGTGACGGTACATATTGTCGTTTTGTACAAATTGTCATCGGCGACAATATGTACCTACCCTCACTGCAGATATTGTCGTCCATCGGTACATATTGTCGCCGGCGACAATATGTACCGAGAAGAGCCTTATTTTCCCCTTGCATAATGGACGACAAAATGTACAGTCAAGCACCAGCACATATTGTCGTCGGCGACAATATGTACAGTCAAGATCGGCATATATTGTCGTCGATATATTGTTTTGACGAATATTTGCTTGAGAAAGGAAAGATAGATTGACAAACAAACACACACGCACGGAGGGAGACAAACAGCATTACTCGCAATACTGTAGGGAGAAAACTTTTGGTTAGAAAATTGTGTCCTGGATTGATGTACATTACTATGATTTGTCAAGATACCGTAATTCTTGAGATATCTGATAAATCAGCTTATTATTTTTTCTTGTAATATATACGTGGAGATTGAATACATGTACTATTTTTTTGTTCAGTAGTAATGATTATTTGGAAATTATTGCGTGTATTCTTATAGACAATCATGTGCCGATATAATTGGTGTTGGGGTTGGCATTTTTAGATCACTTGAAATGGAAGTTTAAGTGAGCTTTTCTGATCACATTTTGTATGAGCTTTTCTGATCACATTTTGTATGAGCTTTTCTGATCACATTTTGTATGACCGTCCTTCTGTCTGTAAACTTGACACAAAGCATCCATGGATAAAGGGGATTGACGTTTGTTGAAATGAAGGGCCATGCCCTCTTTCAAGGGAAGTAGTTAAGAATTAGTGAAAATTTAGTGACATCTTTTAAATATTCTCAAGAACCACCGTGTCAGAAAAGTTGAAACTTATGTGAAAGCTTCATAATGAAGTGTAGGTTCAGTTTTATTCAGATCATGTCCCTCAAAGGTGATCAAAGTTTTTCATAGAATATTTAGAAAAAATTCTTTCAATTTTTCTTTTTCAAGAAGTACTTGGCCAGAAGAGATGATACATGTACTTATGTGAATGCTTCGTTACATAGCGTTCAATTTTGAGGTGCTGGCACGAAAAAGATCCCTCACTGCTCAATGACCCTAATTGCCAAGTATAGGTCTAAATTTGCAGCCCTCCAACGGCAAGTGGTGACGTCTACATACGAATGAAAAATTCTCGAAATGGACATTATAACAACAAACAAACAAGCAAAACCAATTTTGTTCAAATCATGACCCCAGGGGTAGGGTGGGGCCAAAATGGGTGGTCAAAATTTTACATAGGAATATATACAGAAAATCTTTAAAAATCATCTCAAAAAACCAGAAAGATGTAGCACCGCCCCCCCCCCTTTCCCGGTGGTTATATTTTTTTGTTCTGCTTTGGTAAATTAAGTTTGTTTAACTTGAATATACTCTCAATTTAGTCCACAAGTAAAATTTTATAATTAAATAATTTACTTAACATATATATATATATAGTAACACACCTTTACATAATTTTTTTTGCTTGTCAAAAAAAAAAAATCTGAGCCGCCCGCACTCCCATCCCCCCCCCCCCCCCCGATCTGAAATGTCTGGATCCACCACTGAGAACAGCAGTAGGCCCGTGATTAGTGATGTTTATATGGAAGTATCATCAGGTAACGCAGATTTAAGTTTCTTCAAAGCAAACCGGGCGAAGGGTGGGGCCACAAGGGGCGATCAAAGTTTTACATATGAATATATGGAAAATTCTTTAAAAATCATCTTCTAAAAACACATCAAAGCAACGATTAGTAATATTTAAATGGATTGATTAATTGATTGTGATTGTTTAACGCCTAGTCGGCAATATTTCAGCCATATTTCGGCGATCAAATTAAGTGTGTATGACCATTTTTGAAGTTTTTGGTTTCTCTGGCTATATTTATATGGAGCATTGCCGTGCATTGTCATGCGACATGTTCTGATGGACGACAATATGCGCAGTAAGGGTAGGTACACATTGTCGCCGGCGACAATATGAACAGGACGACAAAATGTACCGTCACAGTCACGCTGTTTGAAATAGCATACGAGACACGTCAGTGTGATTAGCACACCAATTACATTCACAAAAGTACCAAAAAACAACAAAATAAATCTTGAAGCAACAATATTTGTGGGGCGACAATATGTACAGTGAGGGTAAGGCACATAATGTCGCCAGCGACAATATGTACATGTGAAACTTTTCAGCCGGCGACAGTATGTACCGATGGACGACAATATGTGCAGTGAAGGTGGGTACATATTGTCGCCGACGACAATATGTACAAAACAACAATATGTACCGTCACAAGGGAAGTGGATCAAGATATTTCATATTTTGTTTATATCTAAAGAAACGCTAAAACTTTCAATCGTTTTAATATAGAATATAAAGTGAAACAAATTGTTAAAAACATTACACAAGTACTGGCTGTTTTTAAAATAAAAGTTTTGCACCTAAAAGTACTGATATTTAAAAAAAGTCTTTAGCACATGCATTATTAAAGGCTTTGACGTAGTTAAACTGAGTCACGTGATCATGGGTTCTTTTTCTTTAATTTGATGATATATCATGTTATAGTCAAGAATACATCAAACGTATCCCCAAATTTGCTGTGTAAAGAACCTTAAAAGGGATAAAGCAATGTAAATCATGAAAAAGGTCTTACATTGTTGAACGCAAACAAAAGGTTTGTTTACTTTGCTTTCTAAGCATCATTGTTCTCCAAACTTATCGAACCTTCGATAGATGCTAGGAAAAAATGGGAAATGTTTGTCCTTTTTATGCTACTAAAGACACGAGAATATGTTTTTAATGTCATGGTAAATCTGTAGGACGTCCTAAATAGTACAAATATATATTGTGTTGTTAAAATGTTCCTAATAACTAGGGATGTCTACGAATAGACGACTATTCGACTATCAGTCGACTGGACCGACGATCGAATAACGAAACGACATTCGAATAAATAAATTTCAATAAAAGAGTGATAAAGAGATGGAATTCTCATCCTAACACAGTCGATAAGATAATTATTCTCATTAAAATCTGCTAACTTTACCTGTAGAAATACAGTAATAAGAAATGCTTCTCTTCCGCGACAAACCATTCACGGAAGCTCAGTCGGTAGAGCGCTCGCTCCGTGATCGGGAGGTCGTGAGTTCGAATCTCAGCCGCGACTAACCTAAGTCGATAAAAAAATGGGTAGCAACTATTCCTTCGCCATGCGCTCGGCACTTTGAAGTGAAAGATGCGGGTCCTTCGGATGAGACCTTAAAAACTGAGGCTCCGTGTTACGACAGGCGTTGGCACAATAAAGATCCCTCACTGCTCAATGGCCCTGAGTGCCGAGTAAAGGTCAAAACTTGAAGCCATTCACCGGTATATGGTGACGTCTCTATATGAGTGAAAAATTTTCGAATGGGACGTAAAACAACATAAATTCAATCAATCAATCTTCCGCGACAATTATTTGTCAATGCGTTTGATTTCCATTAGTAAACTCTTCAAAATTAGAGGCGCGTTTGGTCGTCTGACTGGGACAGCATGGCGTTGCGGATAATATAAAACATGCCAACCTCAATCCAATTTTAAATGTTAAATGTATTTGTCATTCAAATTAAAGAATAGACGAACTAAAAGACATATGTAAGAGAGCGAGAACCCCTAATTTATCATCCATTAATAAAATACATTTCCGAGGCATGTGTATTGTATTTAAATGTACCATACGATAAATAGATACATACGATAAACAATAGATATAAATTGATGTCGTTGTCATTTCTACTCTTAATGTATATTAAGTCCTCAACAATAAAATATTTCATCTACATTTTGTTAGGATTTGTTCCTTGACATTCATCATATTGTTTACATGTTTATTCTACGTTTGTCCCAGAAATCCCGCGAAATTTGTACATTTTCCAACTTTTTCACAAAAGAGCGCACTAAGAAGTATAACTCTTCAATAGTGGAAATAGAACGTATTAATGTGTTGTTTTTGTAATAAAATTATCTCGCTATACTTCGCTTTCTTTGTAAAATTATTAATTGGACTTGATCCCATACCATATACCCATTATAGCCGTGACATGTTTGGACACTACCAGAATTATTATAAAATTAATATTCTTTTATATATTTTAAAAAACATTTTGATAGTTGGCACAGAAAGTATATTCAAATATTTAACATTATCACAGATTTACCGTGTGTGCCCCCCTCCCCCCCCCCCCCCCATCATTTTAATTAGCTTTAAAAAAAATATTGTACTGTCATTTTTTATGCTTCCAAAATAAAAACTGACCTTACAGACCGATTTATGAACATGTTTGACGGGGAAATCATACATTTTGGAGACATTAGCATTCTATATTTAGTAAATAGAAACACGTTATCCACATTTTAGGTACATATGGACATCTTTGTGTAACATTTGTTAAGAAAAGGGGATTTGGAGTTAAATATGTCAGGTACCATGTCATGTGAAGTTTGAAATAAAATTTTAGTTTTCGAAAAAAAGTTTCGAATATATTCGACTATCGTTCGAATAATGCAATCGAATATTCGACTAAAGAAAATAGATATTTTGACATCCCTACTTATAACAGTATTGCAACCGCGAACAAAGCTTAATTGTAGACACAATATAGTCAAGATCAATTATTTTAAAAAATCATTTACACTGTAAATGAAGCATTGAATTTATATAATGAAATATGGTGATAACGACTCAAAGTCAATTAAAACATTACAAATCTATAATCCAGAAAATCCAGAGTAGAATTGTTGTAAAGCAAAACCAACTCAGCAGTATTGTCAGTCCGTGCTCTGTGATGTGTTCAGAGTTTAACAAATTGAACACACCCGTGAAACGAAAACTGTTTTTGTAAACAGGGCACGAGCTCTGTTATTGTTAATGTTTACGATTCACCGGATGTGTTCAATTGTTAAACTCTGCACACACAACTGAGCGCGGACTTACAATACTGTGAGTGGGTTTTGCGTTCGAATATTTCTACTCTGAATTTTCTGGGTTATAGTTTTAATATTTTTCATCAATACATAACAAAATTGCCACTTTTCTTAAGTATTAAGAATAAAATTAAAATATGTGAAAGCGCAAAGATGTAGCAATCCAACGCGTCCATAAATTCGAAGTTTTAATAACTTCGAGATGAAATAAGATTTTTATTATATTTTAGTATGAAATGCTAAAGCAACATATAAGTGATGAAATTATACAGAAAATTTGAGAAAATATTAACTTCAAATCTGTGTCCAAGCATCTTTAAGTTTAATGTTTCTTGATTGTTTAACTTCGCTGGAACCGTTTTATTTTTAATGCTCCATATGTATATAAAATAAGTTCTTAAAATGTCTGAAGTGTATTTTTTTATCGTTTTGTTTCTTTTACTTCAAATTTTTAATGTGTTGTTTAATCTTCTTATAGAATGTGATGATGGTAAATTTGGACTCAAGTGTGATCAGCCATGTGGTTTTTGCTTTGGAAAAGAACAGTGTCATCACATAAACGGGACATGCTTAAATGGATGCGACAGGGGGTATCAAGGGATAAACTGTACACAAGGTAACCTATTAAAAATGATACAATAAAATAATGATTTTAAAAAGTGAGGCATCGTTTAAAAACATGATTGATTTCGGGATATATATAGAGGTTGGTCACCTGATTAAATTCATTATAGCCAGAAGCTTTAAGCTAGATTTGTTCACGTACTAATCGGTATTTATATATCCCAAAACACGTTTTAAATGAAACCATATTGCTTATACTTAGATTTGTGACTGAATTATAACATATTTTTGAGTCTTTTATGTAGAACCCATGAAATTGTTTATTTTTTCAAACGTAAGCTTGAATTGAATGCGTTAATAGCGACACTTATGACATTACTGTAAAATTACGTCGACTGTTTATGACCTTACAATGAATTAATGGTCATATGACGAACGTGTTTGAAAACAGGATTCTATACGCATTGCTCTAATAGTGTTATATAAAGGTATAATATTTGCAAGTGACATTTAAATTTAATTAATATTTTATTAATTAACTGAATTTTCATTTGTAACAGCTTGCCCCGAAGGAAGCTTTGACTATAACTGCACTGAAAATTGTAGCGTAAACTGTAGAGTTCCTGGAAGGTGTGACGTCATAACAGGGCGATGTAATGGTGGTTGTCAGACTGGTTGGCAGTTTGATAGATGCGACAGATGTAAGAAATAGCATTTCAAATTTGAAAATATTTAATCCATGTCGATAAGAGCAGTTGTTATTCGACTAATTTGGCACATTTTAAGTGTTGAGAAAGATTCTGTATTGTAATAAAAGGTGTATCATAAGATGAAGGTAGATTAATGCTTCACGTTAAATATCGCGGTGGGCATGGAAGCACAATTTGTCCAAAATCTTATACGTGAAAAGAAGAAAACACTTGTTGTGGCCTTCAACTCGACATTAAGATATATCGACGACGTATTGTCAATTAACAACGGTTATTTCCATTCTTATGTCGATACGATATATCCCGGTGAGCTTGAGATAAAAGATATCATAGAGTCTGACACATCTGTTTCACATTTGAATGTTTTACTTGAAAAAAAGACGTTAATGGTAATCTAACGTACAAGCTTTATGATAAACGTGATGACTAACTTTTCAATCGTCAACTTCCCTTACTTATGCAGCAATATACCTTCATCTCATGCATACGGGGTTTATATCTCTCAGTTGATTCGATACGCAAGAGCATGCTCTACGTATGTACAATTTCTAAAACGAGGTAAATTATTGAGAAATAAGTTCATGAAACAAAAATATCAGCAGTCTTGTTTAAAGTCATCATTTCGTACGTTTTATGGTCGATACAATGACCTTATCAGCAAATACAATTTATCTTTGAGTCAAATGATGACTGACGTTTTTCATACTAATTGTTAGGCCATTATTTACACACTGAATTGTCGACGGATTTTTCCGTTATTTCCCGATCATGACAAGGAGCACACGGCGGGTGTGACCGGTCGGCAAGGAATTCTCACTCCTCCATGGCACCTGATCCCACCTCTGATGCTTTGGAGGTCCGTGTTTGCTCTGCTCCTATTTTGTATTGTTTAATGGACTTTTGAGCTTGAATACTGTTCGTTATCTCCTTATATTCCATTGTAAACAATAAATATCACAATTTTTGGTTTTTAAAAATCTTAAAACATCCTTTTTTCTTGATTACCCAAATCTTGGCAATTAAGTAACAAAATCCTTTTATCATTTATTCTACTTGTAAATATCACTTACATGCAAGTCAACTAAGGTTTGTTAATCCAGCCAGAATAAGAAGAGAGGAAGAAAAAATAACGAAACATGAGTTTGGGAAGAAAGCATTGGCTTTCAGTTAAAAGCTATACTGGTTTAAATTTGGCATTCTATGGTAATTATTTAAGAAATGAAGAAAAAAAAATACTGACTAAAGTGTCAGCTAAAATATTTTCACGCTTTTTACATATTTTGAATTTTAAGAATAACGAACCCAGATCAAATTTCTGCTATCTGCCGACCTCTGTCGATATTAAAAACAAACCTAAAAAAAACACTCCAATTTTAGAAATAGCATTTTAAAATCTCAACTTTCAACATTGTTTTTATTTTTTTTTTAAGTTAATACTTAAATTCTTACAATTTGGAAGTTTTTAAAGATGGACCTAATCAGATCAGAGATCTTATAAAATTAAATAATTCAAATTATATTTTTGTTTAAACTCCAGTAATTAATAACCCACATTTTACTTTATGTTTTCATTTCAGGCATTGAACAAATGTTTCTACACATTGGCAGTTTTTGGTTATGGTTCTTTGCTACATGTTACCCATTCATGACTCACTGTTCAATGACATCATACAGTTCAAATTTTATCTGAAGACCTTTCATTTTTCCATAGACACTTTTATTAAAATACCATGCCGATTCCATTTCCTCATTTTTATGGATTTGCTTGATTAAGAGAAATATATAGAGATAACGAACAGTATTCAAGCTCAAAAGTCCATTAAACAATACAAAATAGGAGCAGAGCAAACACAGACCTCCAAACATCAGAGTTGGGATCAGGTGCCATGGAGGAGTGAGCATCCCCTGCCGACCGGTCACATCCGCCGTGTGCTCCTTGTCATGATCGGGAAATAACGGAAAAATCCGTCGACAATTCAGTGTGTAAATAATGGCCTAACACTTAGTATGAAAAACGTCAGTCAGCATTTGACTCAATGATAAATTGTATTTGCTGATAAGGTCATTGTATCGACCATAGAACTTATGAAATGATGACTTTATACAGGTCTTTGATATTCTTGTTTCATGAACTTATTTCTCAATAATTTACCTCGTTTTAGAAATTGTTCATGCGTAGAGCATGCTCTTGCGTATCGAATCAACTGAAAGATATATACCCCGTACATGTATGCAGGTGATGAAGATATATTGCTGCATAAGTAAGGGAAGTTGACGATTGAAAAGTTAAAGTCATCAGGTTTATCATAAAGCTTGATTGTTAGATTACCTTTAACGTCTTTTTCAAGTAAAATATCCAAATATAATTTAATTTTGTTTGTATTCTAGCCTCTCATTGGTTAATATCCAAAAAGGAACACAAATTATTTCTGTATAACCTGGTTTGGTATGGGGACACACCCCCTGACAACCAGCTGAATCCTCTCATTTCGAGTCCTCGGGATTCATGGAAAATTCCAGATTTAATAAATGTACTTTTAATTTCAAACAATAATTTGATCTTACCACATGTAAACCAAAAACATGGCTGCTAGGCCTATGTATCAGTTTTTACCTCCACTCAATTCCCATCACTTCCGTTACTTCCGTTACTACGGTTGTATTAATGAGCAGCAAATTTGAACTAATAAAAAGTAACGAAATTTTACACCCATAGTTATTTAATTTTTTTAAAATCAAATTATAAGGAATGACTTTGATTCTTGGCCAAATTATTCGAGTATAACCTGGTTTGGGTCAGTTTACACTGTTTAATAATCCGCTTCGCGGATTATAAAGCGTAAACTGACCCAAACCAGGTTATACTCGAATAATTTGGCCAAGAATTAGAGTCATTCCTAAAATGAAATAGATGTGTCAGACTCCGTGGTATCTTTTTTCTCAAGCTCACCAGGATATATCGTATCGACATCAGAATGGAAATAGCCATTGTTAATTGACAATCCGTCGTCGATATATCTTAATGTCGAGTTCAAGGCCACAGCAAGTGTTTTCTTCTTTTCACGTACAAGATTTTGGGCAAATTCTGCTTCAAATGAATACAAAAGAGGTTTGCGAATAACGGGCGCAATTAGTACCCATGGGAATTCCAATAAATTGTTGAAAGACCTGGTCTCCAAAAGCCACATAGATATTGTCAATCAGAAACTCAAGCATCTTTTAAATGTCAACTTCAGAGTACTTGTGTGTACAATCAGAATGTTTTTTTTTTAACACAATAATTTTGCAAATGACCAGTGACAAGGTAAGTATATTTACGAGTTCCATTTTTTATTGGAAAAGCAGCTCTCAATGATATCAAAAAAACTGGACTTTAATTTATTGCGGGGAAGTCTAAATTAAGTCTAAATTTTTCCTTGTGACATAATCTGTAAAACGAGCATCGTCTTTCAGGTTCTTTTTTTTTGTCTCATTAAAGACTGTTTCGCTTCGGATGAAGACAACCGAACAATAACAGGTTTATTTCTGTGTTCAGTTTTATTTGATGGGATCCGACGAAATGCGGTAATGTCATTTGGATTCAGCTGCAACCCTAGGTCAGACTCAACCAATTCCACTAAATCATTGCGCAGATCCTGATTTGCTGTAGTCCGAAAGTTAAATATTTTTATGTTGTTTTTCTTGGAGTACTGTTCATTAAAGTTTGCCATCTTAATTGCTTCTTGGACATGATTTCTGTTTGAGTTTACCTCTTTTTTAGTTTTGTGTTTCTGTCTTTTCTTAATTTGAGATCTTTCATCAGTTTCTCATTTTCTAATTCCATCGCTTCATATTTATTTTCGTAATCGTCTTTTAGATCTGCTACTCGTTTATCTATCTGTTTTTTAACTCTGTCTTCAAAGACTATAAGAAGACTTTTTACAATGTCTGTCACATTACACTTTAGTTCCTCTTTCTCTACCAGTCATTCCATGAGGGAATCAATGTCCGTTTTGGTTGGAAGGTCAAACAACTGTTTCTTAATAGACCCCAATTCATATTTAAATAACCCTAGTCAAAACTGGTTTCACTCATGCTAGACACATCAGACAGGACATGCTTGGCCTGTTTGTCACTGGCCTGTGTGGATGCCTTTCTTGATGTCTGAATACTTCTCAAGCCTCCTTGGATTATAGCTGGTGATTTTTCTTTCATACCCCAGACATTGTTTAAATCTTTTATCCTGTAGAATACAGTTTTTTAACTATAAAATCGCCTTTCCTATATCATCTGTTCCTCCAATTGAAGAAATCAATAGAAAAACACCTCATACAGCATTCAGAAACAAAAATCTCCCTAAATATATTCCCAGCCTCCTCAAATTTCCACAAATAACATACCAGCACCTTAACACTGCTGTTAGATCGGCGGCCATATTTAAAGACCGAAGATGGGAGATAATTTAAAATTTATGTCGGAGAAATCAAAATTTATGAACATTAATACATTTTTTTGTTATTCTATTGACAGATCGTGATCCGAACATTAAGTATTGTTTATTTCTGTATGGAATCCTAGCAATTCTATGTTTAAGTGTGATGTTAAACATAATTCTCATTTTCCGGTAAGTCTGATTTTTGTTACATGTTCATTTAAAAGTATGGACGTTTACTGTTGTAATGCATCGTGCTGAAATGAAGCCCGACTTTACTTCATTTTGTTCTTTTATTTTTTTGTTGCTATTATAGGAGTTGCAGAAATAAGGTCCGTAAAGAACAAAATCAGCTAGAGAAACACACAAATAGGTTTTCTACAGAACTCACCACGCGTAACACAGAGCTCTATGACAAAGTGGATGACAGTGCAGGATACCAAGAACTTGGTCAATTAAGTCAACCTTCTCATTATGACCAATTACCTTAATGTTAAGTGTAGAACTTAATCTATAGTTTTATGGATTCTAGTTCATTAGGATCAGTTTTTATGCACTTCGTGAAAATAGAAAAGAATAGTCAGGTAATACTTGCGTATAACATGGTTTACTGTCTGAAAGGTGTTTCCCCATACGGTCATTTTAATACAGGTGCTTTATATGATATTTATAATTAAATTTTGTTCACTTGTGCTAGCAAATAATAATAATAATAATAAAACAAAACTACGGAAGCCCGTTGAGGCCAGTTCAGAGAAAGAAATATTTTTTATTGCGTTTAAACGCAATAATTATTGCGTTTAAACGCAAAACATTGCGTTTAATCGCAAAAATTATTGCGTTTAAACGCAAAAGATTGCGATTAATCGCAATGTATATTGCGTTTAAACGCAAAACACTTTGCGTTTAATCGCAAAAGATTGCGATTAAACGCAATCTTTTGCGTTTAAACGCAATACTTTTGCGATTAAACGCAATACTTTTTGCGTTTAATCGCAATAATATTTTTGCGTTTAAACGCAATATTTTTTGCGTTTAAACGCAATAATTTTTGCGTTTAAACGCAATAATTTTTGCGATTAAACGCAATACTTTTGCGATTAATCGCAATACTTTTTGCGATTAAACGCAATAATCTTTGCGTTTAAACGCAATAATCCTTCCTTATAAGGATTTGCTTTGCATTTAAACACAAGGATACTGTAGTTTCAAAATCAAACATGAATTAGTCAAAGCTTTTAATTACATGTACTAGGACCCGACACTTCAACTTTAAGAAGATCCGATTTGTTCTGTGTCTTTTTGCAAAATTTTCCAGTTTTTGAAAATTGTAATAAAACAATGGCATCCTAACAACCTGATTGTCTTAAATGTATTAGAACCCAAAACTCTTAATGAAGTCTCTGATCAATTGCTTACGTGTATCATAACTTATAGAGAAAGTTTCAGTGGTATTAATAGCACTTGTCAATTTGATACATGTAGTACACATCGATCAATCTGTTTTCATTTGATTTTGATTTTGACCTCATATAAATCCATCACATATGTTCTTGTGTTTACTGTATGCAACCATAGGAAGGGTTATGAATGTACATTGAAGTCTAAATACTTAATCATGTTGTACGTAATTCCAACATTTCCTCAGTCCTTTCCAAAAATCCCTTTATACATGATTTAAACTTGTGACTGCAACGTATGGGACAGTTTTTTTTAGCAGAACAACTGACCGAAACTTCATTAAAAATGTAGAGAATAAGCTTTAGACATGTCTCGTTCTTAGGATTCCTTTGTTTTTACAACCCGACATTTTTTTCTCCTCTATAAATTCTTATTAGTGATTTACCTTTCAGAGAGTGTTTGCTCGGAGAAATCTGATTCTATATAGACAACACAAGAGATATAAGTATGCGTGGGTCCATTGTTCTCTGCAAGGTTTGATACAAATGACTGCCCTTTAAACACAAAGATTATTGCCATTGAACTCAAAGATTATTGCGTTTAAATGCAAAAAGTATTGCGTTTAAACGCAAAAATTATTGCAATTAAACGCAAAAGTATTGCGTTTAATCGCAAAAGTATTGCGTTAAATCGCAAAAGTATTGCGTTTAAACGCAAAAATTATTGCGATTAAACGCAAAAGTATTGCGTTTAATTGCAAAAATTATTGCGTTTAAACGCAAAAATATCATTGCGATTAAACGCAAAAATTATTGCGTTTAATCGCAAAAGTATTGCGTTTAAACGCAAAAGATTGCGTTTAATCGCAATCTTTTGCGATTAAACGCAAAGTGTTTTGCGTTTAAACGCAATATACATTGCGATTAAACGCAATCTTTTGCGTTTAAACGCAATGATTATTGCGATTAAACGCAATGTTTTGCGATTAAACGCAATAATTATTGCGTTTAAACGCAATAAAATATATTTCTCTCTCTGAATTGGCCTCAACGGGCTTCCGTACAAAACAAAACAAAACCAAAAAAAAAAAAAAAAAAAAAAAAAAAAAAAAAAAAAAAAAAAAAAAAAAAAAACATGAAAATGCTGTATAAATAATTTATGTACATATACTATTAAACTTTATTGTGGTTAAATTTGTAAATTTGATAATTATTGCTAATGTGTTTGAATGTACAATACTTAGGATCTCTGTTGGCAAATGAGAAATGAGTCTAAAGGAGACGAATTTGTGTAATTCAAACAAAATCAAACGTTCTTCAATTGCTATCTATCTTGTTACATGAGTGGATTATGAATATCCTAGTGTGTATCGTTCAAGACATTCATTAAATGAAAATTTACATATATATAATATTATTTTTAAAAATATGTAGACTCTCCATACCGGTTGATTATCATCGGTTCTAATTGACTGTTTTTGATATACATCATGAACTGACTTAATTTTTTTTTCCAGATGTACAAACATATGTTAGTTTATTTGTCACTTTTTTGCACAGATATATTCTCTCTAAATGCTAATATTTTGTAAAGCGATTAATTCTTTTGAGTGCAAATGATGAAACATGTTTATTTTGTTTGATTCATTCTGTCTTTTGATTATTTTTAATATCTTTATACCTACAATAGTGCATTTGGTTTTTCATTTATAAACTGTGTGACCATATATATTGTCTCCTTTTTTTTGCTGTAGACTGATTATTTGGTTTGTTTATTGCTAGGTCGAGGGCTCATATATTTACATCAGCTCATGCAAGGTTTGGGAAAACAATTATGATGTCACGTTGAAAATTACAAATAAATCTTGTTGAATAAATAAAAAAATGTTCTTCACTATACACTTAAATGCTATCTCTTTCCATGCATTCTGTGAATATAGTTTGATGTGCAACGTATCTTGTCATACTAACATTAATCAAATATAGAATGAAAGCGTACTTGATCTCTTTGTACTGACGGAGGTGACGCCAATGACACGTAGTTTCTCTGTAGTGTGAGCGTGGATCAAGCTTTTATCGCAGTATGTAAATATCAAAATCCATATGACACAAGCGTGATCTGAGCAAGGTGAAGACATATTCTTGAATAAATTTATCCCTATCTTATTTCTTAACTAAGTTAAATATGTTTATGCATTATATAAAGCCGATGGAATGTACACGTACAGTAACGTAATAAAATGACAGAAAGGGCCTCTTGAAATTTCTAAATATTCCAGGATATCTGCTTCACAAAAATTCTGATTTTCAAACATATGTAGCTAACATCCCTCCTGTTTTGAAAAATGGTGGGATCTGGTTGTGCCTGTTGCTTTTTTTGTAATTCAGCATTATTGAACATCACGTCCTTTTTCTGTAATTTATAGAACTATTGCTAAGTAGTACATAATTCTCGAGCATGAAACACTTGCTCCTATCACTGTTAAGGAATTTGTCTTGAAGAAACACATTTCAGTGCATAAAGATATCCGCATATCGTTGAACTTTCACGATATTTATACCTCTCCATATATTTTCTAATTTGAAACTGTCACATGACAAATAGATGATTTATTTGACGTCACTTTGGACGATTTCATCAGAGACCCGATATATACACATACAGACAGCAGAGTTCTAATTCATAAAAGCTATACTTGAGATTTTGTTGAGTATTCTAGGGCGTATTTCCTACGGACATCCTTAACCTTGTTGCGTTTCCTTCCATCTACATTTCTATACCCTCACCCCAAAGGAGTGGGGGGTATAATGTTTTAACCTTGTGTGTACGTGTTTCTGTCTGTCCATACAAAATTTTCGTCGCAGATTTCTCAGCAACTACTCATTGCAGATGCTTGAAATTTTAACAAAGTTTTTGTTTAGACATGCCATATGGTTGGATTCATTTTGTACGAATCAAATGTTAACTTTTTATTTATCTGTGCGTCTCAACGTACCAAAATTCCATCATATTTCTCCCAAAAACTACTCAAGCCAGATGCTTGAAATTTTGGGAGAATTCATTATTGTACGAATTCGATGTCAACTTCCCGTTTATCCCTGCGTCTGTACCTACCAAATAAACAGCAGATCGGGGATATTACGAGTGAGCACTAAAAAGTTACTTAAATTAATTCTGTTTTTAATGTGTTTGTCTCCTCTTTCGATTCATCGATTTAAAGTCAGGGTCTTGGGAAAATAACAGTTGCAACTTATATTAGGTATTTTAACTTTTATTTTCATTCATAGTTTGTTTTATTTGAGGGGCACTACCTACATTTTTAGAGCAAAGTTAGATGCAACTCGACACAATAATTCTTTGGGAAATGACTGTGTATTTGGGTCTGCTAAAATTATATGGTTTCATTGACTTATCGTAACATCTATTTTCGCTTTTATCTTAGTTGAGATAGTGGAAAGAGGATAGTGTACAAAAGAACCGCATATGGTGCTAATTATTAGAAGATTACGATGTAGCTGTTCGCTAAAGTGCATATCAATGAAAATGTTATTTTTGCCTAAACTTCAAAATTTAGTCTTTATGAAAACAACCTTATTGAAACTAAAAATTGTCCATTACATAAGAACACGTTTTTTGTTTGTTTGTTTGTTTTTGTTTTTGTTTTTTGTTTTTGTTTTTTTTTTGGAATTACAATTATATCATCAGATTCTGATACAAAAAGCCAGTGTTGTCCAGCTCTTTACGGAGTGGTTCTCAAGCTTTGCGTAAGCGTGACTTTAAATATTTGTTTCGTAATTTGGTGAGTTTTATTTTGTTTTATCTTCTTTCAAAACCAACACTAGTAAATAAATTTTGCCCCAAAAAATTTACATACATATATAAAATCCATTCACTTTTATGTGTGTAATTTTTAAATGTATGCATTTTATAGTCTTTTAAATTTGGGATTTGTAGAAATAGGGCATGTAAAGGACAGTGTCAAGAAAAAAGAAACACAAAAGAGTTGTCTACAAAACACACCACGCCGGACATAGAGCTCTATGACAAAGTGGAAGACAACGCAGGCTACAAGGAACTGGGTCAATTAAGT